TTTAAAATTTACCACAGTAAAGCTATTGAACAAAACATATTGTTTTTTTATTTTTCGGCCATAAGCTAAGCCTTAGCATCAGTTTGGCGGTTCTTTTATAGACATTGGCTGCTTAGAAAAGACCAAAATCAGTCATCCATTCCCGTTTGTCTCTTTCTCAGCATTTGTTATGTGTCGGAGACAGATTAGATGGATAATTTTCGAAACTATTAAACTTATTCCTGTAAAATTGTAGGCGTAAGAACAACTCATCTTTTATGTTCTGGAAATTATGAAGGAATTGAATAAAGAAGTTTACTGAGCACCTCACGACATAGTAACATTATGATCAGTGTTACATACATCATCAACGTCACAATAAATTTAAGCTTCACTAGAAAGTTAATGAATTGCATAACAAAACGAGTCATGAAAGAATACTCCGTGACATGTTAGCTTCAGAAGGTGAAAGAAGTACCTACTCTACGAACCAGTTTTTTTTACATATTACTGTACGTAAAAATATGCTTTTAAGATGCTTTTCTTTTGAAATTTTTGTATTATTTAATTTAGGGTTCCTAAAATATACCTACCTACAAAAATACATTAAAAGAATTATCCAAAAAAAGTGTCTGTTTATAAAATTGTTGGAGTTCAAAACTCATGGACGTTATAATTATTGTAAGGAAAATTTCTCTTAAGTAAAAACATAGGTATGTTCTAGTTTGATAATTAAAAACATAATCAGTTTCAAGCGGATAACATCATCCTTGTTAGAAAAAGCTGAATGAAGCTGCTAACAACGCTGAATAAACAGTATATTTTTTTGTAAAAATGCAAACACATGTGTGGTTTAAATCTATTTTCAGTCAAAAATTAAGGTCCTTAAGGTCTTTAATATGACTGTACCTCCCAAAATGCGCGTTAAACACAGTTTCCAGCATATAACAAACTCACAGACGCCAAAATGTTCTTTGAATTTTCAAAATGTCAGTATCTAAGTACAAAATAGGTTGTGTCTACTTAAGTTCTCTTTTCTTTTGAATAAGTCATTAAAAAATTGGGCTAAAGATATTTAAACAAAACAGAAGATTATTCTGCAAATATTTTTTTGTAACACCCGCTATATATAAAAATAAAAAAATAGTAGCGTAACTAGATATGCATTTCCGGTACTTTGTGGAAATTAGATAGATAATCTTTTTTTATTTCAAATTTGTAAACATTCCGCACAAACAGAGGCACATTTCATAATAAACACGTATTTTTTGTTTACTATCATTGATTTTGTAGTTCGGTAATCGAAATCACTATTAATAAATGGTAAAAATTTCACAAACGTTCTTTTCGTAGACTCTAAACACAATGTAAAGTTAGTTTTTACAAACTTTATTTTTTAGCAATAACTCGCATACTTATAAAAATCGGAATGGGACTATTTGGCGCGGCCGACTTGGCGCGGCCAACTTGGCGCGGCCGACTTGGCGCGAGCCATTTTGGCGCAGGGACATTTTGGCGCAAGCCATCTTGGCGCGAGCCATCTTGGCGCGAGTACGTCGACATATAATATAAAAAATATTTCTTGTTCGTACTGTGGTTAGCACCCTGTTATTTATGCCAAATGTAGGCAACCAAATACACAGATTCATTCGCACAAATTCCAATAACTTAATGATCCACGGAGCAAGAAGTTCCACGTTTAGGAGTATGTTTATAATGGGGTGTAGGGCGCGAAGCGCCCGTGTGTCCATTAAACAGTCGGCATTACCCCTCCACGCGTTGGTGACTATAAAAATTAGGTTATGCTAACAACGGCTGCAATTTTTGTATATTTATATTATTTTTCTTGGTGTGAGTTCATCCGCGCCAAGATGGCCCGCGCCAAGATGGCTTGCGCCAAAGTGTCCCTGCGCCAAGTTGGCTTTGCGCCAAAATATTTCGCGCCAAGCCGGCCGCGCCAAGTTGGCCGCGCCAAGTCGGCCGCGCCGAATTGTCCTAGACCGTATAAAAATATAGGTACGTTTATTAAAGCACAAACTAAAGAACCGTGCCACTTCATAAATTTCAGACAAGATATTTTTAAAATGTCAGATGAATTCTAAAATTTTGTAGAATTTTTAATTGATTTCCAGAAACCTACAGCACAGAAGGCTAAAACAGGGGTGGATAAATAAATCACAGGATAGGACGAATATTATTTCGCAAATCTAAGTTGTTGACATATAATTGTTTGAAGGCACAAAAAGATGCATTTTGATTAGCGATTTACTATGATTATCATGACCAAAAGCGTGTGCAAAATTTTAGCGCAATCAGTTTTATTGTTGCTTCTTAAGTCTATAATTTTGTTTCTACAAGTTTGAATTTTCATCCAACAATTTACGTGCAAGATGTAGATAGACTATTTTGCATATTTTACAGTAGCTGCTAAGATAAAACTGATTTTGGCAAATGACGTACCCTTGAAGAAAAGAGGGCGGGTGGGCGGGGCTAGTACCCGCTACGATAAAACTAACTTTGGCATATGACATACCTTCTAAGAAAAGAGAGGGTGGGTGGGTGGGGCTAGTAGCTGCTAAAATAAGACTGAGTTTGGCAAATGACATATCCTCTAAGACAAGAGAGGGTGGGTGGGAGGGCCTAGTATGTGCTAAGATAAGACTGATTTTGACGAATGAGATACCGTCTAAGAAAAAAGACGCATCCTGTAAGAAATTGGCAAAAGTTTGAGATGAAATCAGTAAATTCTTGGTGGAGCAATCAAACAAATTTTAATTAGGTAGGATCAGAAATTACTTGCTTAAAAAAATCGCCAGTAGACAACAGACAGACGAAGACAGAAGACCTACTTTTTCATAATCTACGAAGTATGAAACCTCGAGAAAACATTAAACAAACTTTTAACTGGCTGCTAACTTTCACTGTAGATATTATTCAAACTAGACGCATTTTATGTTATACATTTTAAATAGGATAACTCAGTCAAATTTTGAGAAGACATAATGAAATTGTTGTTGGGGATGGTGAGAATTAGTATAAACTTTAGTATTTTCCTTTAATATGCCTAAAATTCCACTACAACAATTCCATAGTTCCAGACAATTATCTGAATAACAAACCCTGTTAGGAACTTTGTCAATGATTTTTGACATGATGGCAGTTTTTATTCCTCCAGAATGTAATACGTCTTCAACGATAGTTCTCTCGCACTTGAACTTTTTAACTCAAGGGCGAATGGCTTCACAAGAAGAATATGAATCGCCCAATGAAAGAAAATTTCTTGGATTTTTCACAGTTTTCCGTTCCAAAAATAAGAACTGAATTACACTACGAATTGCAATTTTCTCTTCTTTTCAATGAAAGTCCCTCGACACACTAGTAAATCAATTAATTCCTAAATGAAGAATTACTGACAGAAAGATTTGACATTATAGAAATACCAGAAGTATGGTCAGAAGCCTATTTGAAGTCTACATAATATGCAGTTACTGCTTTTTCTTCTTTCGCTCTCTAAGACGATGCGAACCGATTTATTTATCAAACCACCTTCACAAGAGTTTTCCCGTTTGAATCGGTGTTCAAACAAAAGAAACCGCATTGAAATCGGTTCACCCTTTCGGGAGCCACGGTGCAACAGAGGGACACAGACATCAGTTGATGATCTTGAAATGATTGAAGTGATTATCGTCAAGGATAGCCAACAACCATCTCTAATAGACTAACTTTCAGCTAAAAAACACCGCGTCGAAGTCGCTTCATATGTTTGGAGGCCGCGGTTCCACAGACAAATCCGCAAACAGACTAGCATCAAACATAGCCAGAAACCATCTCGATTGAACTAGATTTCAAACAAAAAAAACCGCATTGAAATCGGTTTATCCGTTTGGGAGCTACGGTGCCACATACAGACAGGCACTGAGAGAGACAAGGGAGTCAAAATTATAAGACCCCTCTTATGGATCGGGGGTTAATAAAGTCGTCAGTAGACGACAAATGAAGACAGACCACAAATATACAACAAACCGACGACAGATAGACGGAAATGAAAGACCTTTTTCATTTATTACGATTCTGCGTAAACCACTAAAGAACAAATTTTATTGCACAGCTAAGTACGTAGGTAGGTTTTAAAATAATTAAAACACCCATTTACAGACCCCGACACAAGTGTCTCTTGCTTTTCTAGGAAGAGCTTTGTTGTGTTAAATACACCGAGCCCTTCTACAACTTTCTTTTCGAGTTCTCTTTCTGTATCAATTAGTTCATGTTGGGTATTCGCAAAATTTTGCATTCGCTTGGCCTCGCAAATTCAAAATTTTGCTCGCCAAAAAAACACCACTTTTAATCCTAATAAAACAATTACTATTGTGGCTTTCTTTTTGTGTGTAAGGATTACCTTTAGACAAATGAACAAATTTCTTATTTTATACGTTTTAGTAGTTTTTGAAATAATGACTACGTTTTGTTATCTGTTATTTTTGCCCTCATTTAATAGCTACTTGTCAAACTACGATTTACCGTTCACATTCTATTTTACCTCATACAGACATTGTCCAAGTTTATATAAACTATCGTGAATTTAATTTACCACATCTATCAGTATGCAGGACTGCTACAAACGACACAAGAGGAATTAGAGGCGTCTATTGCTTTTTAATTAAAACATCCCGCTTTGCCAACTGTTGTCCCTAGAGATACACAATATCGTAACTATTGCCTTGAAAAACTGTCGACAGGTATCCAACAGAGAAACATTAGAATCTCGTAAGTAAATTTTCCTATTCAGTTTAATAAAGATACTCATTCTACATTAGTTGCCCTGTCGACAGATTCAGACAACACGAGCGCTGTGTAAAAAATCTCAACTTATTATGAATGAACTTATTTCCAGCTTCAGTAAACTAATAAAATTAAAATTAGATGACTTCTTAAAGAGTCTCGGGTAATATCTCAATGGTGTATTACAATAATCTCAACACGTGTGCTTCCGCCACTTTATATTTTAGCAAAATATAACTCACCAACTGATTTTGATAAGCCGTGACAGCAGTAAAAACAGTTTCAGGAAATATAAATGTTTTATATTCTTCATTTTCCAAGTCGACTATTTGTCCTGAGGCCCCATCCGGTCGTTTAACTAAGTGAATCCGCGGCTGATATTTGTGCATCGAGTTTAAAACTAACTGTAACAGAAATGCAAAGTAAGTTTGATATTTCCCCTTATGGAAAAGTGACATACATGTCCGTGTTTGTCCATTTCGTTGTTGGTGAGCTTCACTTTTTCGAAAGAAACGACTTGTTTGCGAAGCTGTTCACCGGTGAAAGGAGAATCCGGATGGGAACACATCCTACAAGGAGCTGGCGGATCCGCTTTTCCGGCTACCAGCCAGGAAGAGCGGTGGTAAGCGTAACGGTAACGCTTGTTGTCCACGGGAACTATGTCCAGTAGAACGGCGTATTTTTGATCTGGCCTTATTCCAGTAAAAGAAACTCGTACCGTAGGAAACATTCGTCTGAAAAGAAGAACTTTAATATAATTCTTTGAAAAAATCTCAATACGATATCGTCGGCACCATTAAAGTAACGAGTGTGAAAATTCGCATTATTCAGATTCATTAGTCTACCGTTCTGCTCTACCAGGCGCATTTTGTAGTTATATGTCGAAATCTATGGCATAGCGAAAAACTGCAATCAGCAATTTTAAAAATTTATACAGTCGTTCAGATCACACTATTTAACAACCAGCATCCGTAAATATAATTTTTTTGAGCTACGTCCAATAAACGAAAGCGTCGCAAATGAGAGTAAGCAACAAATTAAAAAAAAACCTATTTAAACTTTTGTTTTTAATTTTTTAGTCTCTATTAATTAAAAAAATAAGTATGCAATAAAATTTAATATTTTTATTGTTTTTTAAGTTTTTCTTTTCTGAGACTGGTTTTTCATACATATGTAGGTTGAACTAACGACTATTTTTAATTGATTTTATGAATTAATTAAATATACCTAATTAATATTACAACAATGACCAAAACAATGAGCATTTTATGAGACTTATTTAATTATTAAAAAAAAAAAAACACTCAATACTTTGTGGAAGTGAGATTGAATTGTTTTTTTTTGCTCTCCTGAAAAGTATACAAATCCACATTCGTTACTTTAATGTGGTGCGGACGATATGCTAATTTTTAAATTTCAGAAACTAGAACGATTTTATATTATTTTACCACTGTGAAAAATTGTTTGTTAAAATTTATTCATAACGTAAAACAAAACGACCGCAAAATGTAAACTAAATTTTATAAAAAATGAAGATTGAGATGTAGTACCGTTACAAAAATCGTCCAAGCTGAAGGTTAGCATTTCATACAGCTTATATTTCACGAAAATTCTCTTGCATAAGTTGAATGTTATTTCGTGCGGTTTACATTTTAATAAAATGCTTCAAAATTGTAAAATAACGCATATTTTCCGTACAAATTGTAGAGGACCATTTATTTGCAGCTTTTTACTCTCTTCGAAAATAAATTATATGATGAAGCAAAGTGACCCAAAATAATATTAGAAATACAAGTAGCAGAAAAAGAACAACTTTAAAGTGATAAAGATACACTAGAGTTGTGGACAAAAGAGAAAAGCAAATTCACAAAGGGATAAATTCCAAGAAGAAGAAGAAAACAGCAATCAGTTATAAAAAAGTCTAAAAAGAAAACTAATGTTGTCATATTTTTCTACTTCTTTTTAAAATATAGAAGCTGAAAAAATTAATTGGTTTATTCTAATGTTTTATTTTTCTAACATTTTCAAATAATTTTTTGTTTATTAATATTACCCTACAAATACTGTAACGTCTGATACTTCCTTTTTTTAAATCTCTAACAATATTTTAGTTAAGTTTAATGACAAACAAATACCTTCTAAAATTGTAAGCAACAATGTTGTAATCACAAGGCTTCCTTCGGCCTTCTCTTTTTTACTTCCCGAGCGTAAGCAAAGGAAGTATTGTAATCGAGTCCGTCGGCCGACTCTCTACTTTTACGTTTTCTCGATCTTTCATGACCCCTAGAAGACGAAGAAATAGGTCTCCCATTTCCGTCTGTCTGTCCGTCTGTCCGTCTGTCCGTCTGTCCGTCTGTCCGTCTGTTGTCACGGATTTTTATTAGACAGATAATCTCCGAAAGTACTCGACCGATTGTTGTGAAATTTTGTACTTATATTAAGAATATCATGTAGATGGTAAAACGCTAACCAAAATTTGTCGAATCATCCCCACCACTAAAGCGATGACGTCACTTCAAAATTGTACATAGTAAATGGGTTTTCAATTGTATAAAATAACATAGTCCTACACATGTAGTTTACAACTCTGAATCGACTTTTCACCCGAAACGTCCAGATTTTTGGAAAAAAAATCAAAATTATAAAACAACATTTTGAAATTTAATTTTTAATCTGCTAACCAGAATGCTTTGAAATGTTGCAGATGTTTTAAGGCTATAAAGAGCATCATAAATCTTTAGTCAAAAAATATTTGCTTATCCCCTCCAAAAACTTGATGACGTCAGCTCAAAAGTTTGTGGAATAAATCATATCTAAAATGTACAAAATATGATGAGTCTGTACTTGTGAACTATCACTCCATTAATATTTTTTGGATTTGCATATACAGGGTGACTCAAAAAAATTAATGAATGCGTAAATATATTTTATTGATTTAATCAGGAACTACAAAACCGAATGCTCTGAAATCTTGCAGATGTTTTAAGGTCATAAAGAGCATAATAAATGTTTAGTCAAAATATATTTGCTTATCCCCTCCAAAAACTTGATGACGTCAGCTCGAAAGTTTGCCGAATAAATCATATCTAAAATGTACAAAATATGATGAGCCTGTACTTGTCATTTATCACTCCATTCATATTTTTTGGATTTGCATATACAGAGTGACTCAAAAAAATTAATGAATGCGTAAATTTATTTTATTGATTTAATCAGGAACTACAAAACCGAATGCTTTGAAATCTTGCAGATGTTTTAAGGTTATAAAGAGCATAATAAATTTTTAGTCAAAATATATTTGGTTATCTTCTACAAAAAACTGATGACGTCAGCTCAAAAGTTTTCCGAATAAATCGTATCTAAAATGTACAAAATATGATGAGTCTGTACTTGTGATTTATCATTCCATTCATATTTTTGGATTTGCATATGCAGGGTGACTCAAAAAAATTAATGAAGACGTGAATTTATTTTATCGATTTAATCAGGAATTACAAAACCGAATGCTTTGAAATCTTGGGAATATTTTAAAGTTATTATAAGCATGGTAAACTTTTGTTCAAAATGTATTTGTTCATCCCTCCTAAAAAAATTGATGACGTCACCCTTAAATTTTGCTGAATAAATCCTATCTAAAATGCAAAAAATATGATGAGTTTGTACTTGTGATTTATCATTCCATTCATATTTTTTAGATTTTCTTAAGAGGTGGTTCAAAAAAATTAATGAAGTCAATTTATTTTATTGATTAAATTAAAGGCAACACTTATTATTAGTATTACACCCCAACCAACCCAATTTGGTAGACACAAAATTTGTTAAAGGAAAAACTCGGTTGAAACATAAGGGTAGCACGCTTATTTACATCGACTTTAACATTACAGACCTGCATTTGTTTTATGCGTTCACTTGATTCCGCGAATGTGAAATAGACATGTTTATAATCAACCAATTGTGAATTTCACCGTCAAGAATTAAAATAAAACCCAATGTTTTATATAATAAGCGGAAGTCGAAGCAATAAAACCGACGGTCGTTTTGTTTACAGTTTCTGTGTTTGGCTCTCACGTATGCTGTTACGCCTGTCATCTTAAATTAACAATGTTTATACATACACGATTTTCAGTTGCCTCTGATACGTAGGTATACGTGAGTAAATTGTTTCGTTATTTTATTGATTATTACAAATCAATATTCAAACGACCCAATTCATTTTCCCGAAAATTTGAGAATATAATAATTTTATTCTTAGTATTACACTACATCTATCCCAACTGATATACGTGTCCTTGCAAAAATGTTGATGACGTCATCGCAATTTTTTTTTAAATTCCCACTACAAAAATGTAATGAGAAAAAAACACAATAGGCATGCAGTCGTCAAGTTTCCGACAGCGAGGGAAGTACTGTCTAAACTCTTTAGACCAATTTTTTATTGTAATAATAATTTAATGTCAAATAAAATCTTATTTCTTTCCAACAGACCAAAAAAGTTATCAAAGCACTTGAAGCTTCTTTTTTATTTTGTTTGCACATTTTTTTACACCAAATGCTAAAATATCAGCAATAGTTCAGCAAAGTTAATTCTTCTTAAAATTCGCCTACCGTAACTTTTTTTTTAGGTTACTCGTCTAATCAGTCGTTTACGGCAGACATTACTTCGTCGTCGTCACCATATTTATAAGATATTCTTTCAATTTTAGGAACAAAGAAAAGTCACTAGGAGCCAGGTCTGGTGAATAAGCAGGATGTGCCAACATCTCAAATCCTGCATCATAAAAAGCGGTCACTGAAACATGACTTCTCTGAATCGGAGCGTTGTCCTGAAGAAACAAAAATCCTTTACTCAACTTTCCCCGTCTTTTTTCCTTAATACATTCGCGCACTTTAGAAATAAATTAAATTGGCATAATAGTAGTCTGTTATTGTGTGTCTACGGTCTAAATAATCAAGCATTACGATTCTTTCCGCATCCCAAAAAATTGTGGCGACGTGGAGGAGAACGTTTATGATGCCACTCCATACTTTGTTTTTTGATTCGAAATCGAAGTGGTGTATCTATTATCAGCAATCTGTATAATGAGGCATTCTATACAATACCTAGGCAATGTATAGAATGCCTAAAACGTTAAGGTAATGTATGAAATATTATTCATTTTATACTTTGCCTAAGTATTCTATACAATGCCGAATGCGCAGCTGGTAATGTGTGTAAAAGACGAGAAGAGGTAAGAGTGAGATATCTGTAAGAAGAAATAATTTTTTTTTCTTACTTCATTCTGAGAAGCCAGTAAATCTATTTTTTATTTTTATAGAACTGTTTTGTTTCCTAAGTTTTTAATACTTGGTAGGTACCTTTCCTGATTATTTTTGAGAAAAATGTTATTATTTTAGTTTACCTAGAAGAATTTTGAGTTTAACGTGTTTTATTTGTGATTTTACTATAGTTACAGAAAGATACCCAGTGCGTTTTTTGTAGAATAATTTATAGATTATAAAAAGTTTGTTATTATGAGTAAAAAGTATTGTGGTCTTTAATATCTAATATTATTTCTTTGAGTAGGATCTAGTAACTGAAGAATAAATAAATAATTTTAGTGCAGTAATTCTTAATTCTACTGCAAAAAAATAGGTATTGTATAGAATACCTGAATTATACAGATTGCCGGTAACATCAACGGTGATAAATCGTGCAAGAAATTCATGTGAATCGGCTTTAAATTTTGACAAATTG